TTAATGGAGGGTGCAGAAACTCAGGTGGAAAGCTATGCAATTCAGACAAAATGTAAATACTGGGGCCAAGAAGTTCTGTACTTTCAAATCTGTCACAACTGGTGAAAATCAGCACAGATACGCAGGGGGGTCCACAGATGGGAGTCAACAGCATCAAAATGGTGGTTGCAACCCGGCAATTCAGGCCCTGCCCCCTTTTAATGTGCATTCCATACACTGCATGCATTGCACACATGAAAAAAAGGTGCAGCTTCAATCTCTCAATCATAAGCATTGTTTGATGCTGCTCCCCCCCCCCCCGGACATTCCCGTACTGTTGTTCTTTTGTCAGAGGAACAACCATTAGAACTGTCCTCTACACACTGAAATCCCTCTGACCCACCAAATATTTCTGAGATTTCACAGCCATCACCTCTACATTTCAAACCTGATTCCTGCAGCCTTAAGGACTAGAAACACAGTTACTGTCAATGGCAGAAAAGACAAAATGCTCAGAAGAAGGACATTGGGAACTGAGTTCAAAGCCAGATTAAATCTTGCCCAATGTGATTGGACAAGCATACAAAGATTTTTGGCTGGGTATCCAGAGACATCACTGTTGAAGGAACAACACAAACCATGGTTGCCCTTTCCCTTAGAAGTATTAATAGCCAAGCCAGCAGGTGTACCAAACCAACCACTCTCCAAGCAGCAGAAACCCACCATGAGAAGGCCAGGCTGGACTCCCACTTCCACCCAGGCCCTGCTCTTGTTCCCTCCCCAGCTCAGGAGCGAAGGCCTTTGGGGGCGGGGGGAAACCGGTTTCCCCCACCAGGCCCAGGCAGCCCTGGCCCCCCCATTGCCAGCACATGACCGGAAACCCAGCAGCTTCTGATCTCTCCCCAGCTGCTGCATTAGCAGCCCCAGGCTGAAATGGGCGCAGCATCTTTTCCCTCCGGCTGTGGGGTGCCTAAACTCCTTGCCTTCTGGTGCGGTAAGTGCCGGGAAAGGGGCCTGGACCCCTTTAGCCCAGTTTTCCTCCAGAGTTCACTGTCCTCCACTGACCTCACTCCGTCATAGTGTCCGGGGGGCCCCTCTAGCATCCCCAGATGACCTTCCGTTATCTTTCTCTCCTTCTCCTTCAGCATTTGTGGGCAGTGGCTCTGCCGTG